ATGTCGGGGGGGGGGCTGCACTGTGGGCCTGTATCAGGGGTGGCGCCCCTGCACTGGAGCCGATGTCCAGGGGGCGCAACCCCGCACTGGGGGCCGATATGTTGGAGGGTGGGTGAGGCCGGTTGGGTATAATTGGGTGCGAGGGGTCGCGCCAGCGGAACGTTCGACCAGTCAAGGCGGCAGGGAAGTTGTGGGGAAGGGCCGCCACGATCGGCAGAAGGAGCTGGCGTCCAAGCCAAGTGCGGGCGGGCGGTCTCTGCTGCAATGAGCCCCCCGTCCCGGCCCTCGCACCCTCGCACCCTCGCAGAGCCTGGTGGCCCAGATGCGCGACAAGGTGGCGGAGATCGACGGCGCCCACAAGGAGAAGCAGGCGCAGCTCAAGGCGGTGCAGGGGCGCCTGGGGCAGCTGCGCAAGAGCCAGGGGCTGCTGGAGCAGCGGGAGAGGCTGGAGCTGGCCGCGGTCTGGGCGGTGGTGCGGGAGCGCGAGGAGGTGCGGGGACGGGGGGTCAGGGGCGGCGAAATAGGCGGGGTCGCGCTGGATGGAGCGTACACGGCACACCAAGGGAGCATCTACGACATATCCATCAGCAAGGTTGCGCACGAGTCCTGATGTTTGGTGCCCGGACGCTGTAGCAGGGCAGCTGCAGCGACGAGGCACGCGCCGAGCACGTCGGGAGCCGCGTCCCGCGCAAGCGTGCCCGGCTGCGGGCCTGGTTGTCATGCGCCGTGTAGAGTTCCTCGCCGCGTGGTTGCCGCCGTGGCTGCGCCTGCAGGGCTGCTGCCTCACACTGCAGGCTCCCGACAACTCAAAAGTGCAGTCAACCCCAATGACAAGCGAACGTGCTCTGTCTCGCGCGCGTGCACACACACACACGCACACTAACACACACACATGCACACACGCACGCACGCACGCTCCCCTTCCTTCCAAACCCTCCAGGAGCTGGCCAGCATTGACGCCAAGCTGGGGTCCATGCGCAGCAGCAAGCGCGGTCAGCTGGAGGAGCAGGCGGCGCGGCTGGACGAGCGGCTGGACGCACTCAGCAGGGAGCGGAGCGAGCTGGTGGGCAGCCCCCTTTGAGAGGCCAATAACGCATGCACGCATTTTGAGGTGGTTGAAACACTGGACAATACTGAAATACGAATATGAGTTTCAAATCCGGGGCGCACTGGGCAGTGTGGGGCAGAGGCTTTGCAAGGCGGCCGCTGCCGGCTGCACGGCGGCGCGAGGGGTCGCTCGGAGGCGGTGCGCGGCGTCGAGGCGGGCCCCGTCCCACCTGGGATCGCTGGCAGTGCAGCGGACGGCGGCCGGGACCTGTGCGCTTCATCCGGCAGTCCGTACAAACGTATGCTCAACCCCTGCTCCCGCTTACCACCTGCACGACCACCACGATTGCACCTTCGAACCCTGTGAGGGCAGGCAGACCAGCAGAAGACCCAGAACGAGTTTGCTTCCGAGGTGCTGGGGGGCATGACAAAGCTACAGGCAGCCCTGAACGCGGCGAAACGGGAGGTCACGAAGGTGCGGAGCTGCTGAACAACATGCGGCGTCGGCGCACATTTCCTGCTCCTTTGTTTATAGACGGTGGCCGGCCACGCCTGGAAGGGATTTGTGGCCCAGTCTCAGCTGCAGAGCGGCTGCTGCATGCCTGGCGCAAAAGCGGCGCGTGATGCATCGTTCCCTTGCCCTGCGCTGACCGTGTGCCTTTTCGCCTCTGCCTTTTGTTCTTCCCTTTGCGTGCGCCAGCTGCTGCGGGCGCAGCAGGCGGCCAAGGCAAAATTCACAGAGACTGAGGCGGAGATGACTCAGATGGTGCAGGTGGGCGGGGTTCAGGCGACCAGGGGGCTGGCAGCGGGGCGGGAGTGGCGCCAGCGATGAGGCTGGTGCACGAGGCATGTGGCCCTGCGTCGACCCAGCGAGGCGGCAATCCGGCTGGGCAGCGTGCGCGCATGCGCGTGCGCACACACACTTACACACACTCACACTCACACACACACGCACACACACACACACACACACACACACACACACACACACACATGTATACACACACATACATACACGTGTGCACACACGCACACACACATGTGTATACACACATGTGTACACACACATGTATACACACACATATACACACACATGCACATACACACTCACACAGACGTGCAC